AGTAAACAAACATTTTTTTTCCACAGCTGCAGTAAACCTGCAGCAGGGAACCAATAACTGAAACCTGTATTTTTTTTTCACCTGCTCTAACTCAATGGAAACTCTCCTTGCTCCTGAAGCGATGAGGGATTCTAGGAACCAGACTGCCAATGCAGCATAATTCTTTGTCCTGCTTTTCACACAGTGCGAGCTATTCTCATGCTGTATATTATAAACATGCCGCTGGCATATTTAGGAATTCATATAGGCAGGATGTTGCCTTGTACATTGTCATATTTTTAGTGGGATGTGTGCTGTTGTCTGTTTTCTCATTCGCTTGTGGCGTGGTTTAGCAATCTGTATTGGTCACCTCAGCATTCCTTTTTAAATTTTAAATAAAACTACTCAACTAAAACTTGTCAACATTCTTATAACACAGAAAGACTAGAATACAAAAACATGTAGCCAATGGCTACACCAGCTGTATTTTAACTAATCTTTTAATTAATATGTTCTTATCTATTAGTTTCATGTTTAAATTGATTTTACAACTACAGAATACTTTGTGTTGTTAAACTATTTTAACACCAAAAGTTTGTTAAATTAGCTGATGTCTCACTTCAAAGATGCAGAATTTTTTGAAATAAACTTCACTATGAATTCTCTCTAGACTAACCCGCAAAATAATATTCAGAACATCTGCAATGGGACAGTGTAAACAGAAATTGCTGCTGGGGTGTCTATCCCTGGCAGGGAAGCATCACAAATCAAGTTATTTCTGTGCCTCGTCAACAGAAAACTTTTGCAAGAACCTGCCTGTGTCAATATTTACAGATTAATTAGAAAGTTGAGAATAGAAGATCTCCTTGTCATTATGTTGTGCAACCTGTATGCCTATACTCTATTTATTATTTTATATACATATATATATGAGCTGGCCCAACCCCTTCTGGAACAGAAACCCTGAACTCTGCTCTCAGTTTGGCTCTCTGTAGAGGATGTTGCGATTACATCCATTACGCCCATATGTAAATCCCTAGCCACCAAGATGTCCCTTTGATGTTTTAAAAAAAGGAGTTCTCTTACATTGTGAAAATGAAACTTAATTCTTCACAACAGAGTGCTGCTGATGATGTTAGCATCACCCTGGTTCCCTCGACAAAAAGCCAATTAAAATTTTCCATTGGTCTTTGAATCATTGTAGAAAATAAAATCTGTGACGAACAAAAGTGCATGTTCAGCATGATAATCTTCCCAAATGAACACCACTTTTTTTTTTTTTGGATTTTTGAAGCCTAAATACAATCACCAGAAGTAAAAAGCTGTTGGGCTATAAACGAATTACACCAGGGTCGCATGAATTCAACGTTACCACCTCTAAGCTTCCAACTTGTAGTTTGTTTTAGTGTGCTTACTTCTACAAAAAAAAAAAAAAAGTAAAAGAACAAAGTTAGTAATGGTTTGCAAAAGCATGTCCCTGACAACCTCTGTAGTCTCAATTAGCCACTTGTTAGCAAATGGCTTTTTTAAAGAGACATTAAAGCTTAAAAAAATCACAACTGGTTACTGATGTATTTAATGTTGTAGAATAAAATGTGAAAACCTCTTGAGCTTGTGTTAACCACAGACCTTATTTCAGGCATCTAACCAAAAAACCTATTGACTTCGGGAACTGAAGTTGCAAACATTTAACTTATTTCTGGGTTTTAGGACTCATTTGTGAACCACTCTACTGTCTGTTGGGAAACATCTGAGATAATGTCGGAAGAATTATGTAGATATCATGCTTATCAAATTAACTCTTTTTTTATCTTTCTTTTTTTAACCCTGAAACATACTCAACCCAGGTACTATTACCTTTACTGCAGCTTTTCTTGCTGTGAATCTGTCATCAGTTGATCAGCACATGGATTTCATGTTTTTCATACAAAATTTAGTTGGGAACGACTAAAACTAGTAAAAGTAGGGGGGTGGAGGGCACCATCTAACCTAACAACCTCACCCTTGTGAAAGGTCGCTCCATTTGAAGATGTGGACAAACACTGGTTTGCTCTTCTGATTTTGACGTTCCAGCTCAGGCAGAAAACATTAAAGGATGAAAGGCCTCACTATCTCCACTGGATCAGTGGATCTGCCCAGGGCCTCGCAACAACAGCCACTCTACCCTCGCGCTGCCACCGTTGCCTCCTGTTTTGCGGCATGTCCTATTTACTTATTTATTCGTCCCTCCTCCACCCACGATTCACTTCTTATCTCACCCATTAAAATTAATCCTCATCTAAAAATATCTACTCTTGCTCATCAGAGAGGATGTAATCGAGGAGGAGATGGTCTCTCTCAATCTCCCTCCCTCCTTCAGCCTCTTAACGACAAGCGCTCAAGTATCTGTTTGTTGAGAAAGTTGTCTCACTTCAACTTCTGAGGTAGAAAAACAACAAACCAGCCTGTGTTTGTGAAAATTCTTAATCACACACTGCCATACTTTGTTGCCTACTGAGGCTTGATTGGGATTGGATGTCTGCTTTTATGTTTCATTTTGGAGGAGACTTACACAGTCACTAATTGCTGAAGTCATGAATGTAGTAATTTATAGCTTTATAGGTCTATTTTACTGTTCTTGTACAGTTGGAAAGATTACTAAAAGCAGGCAACGACAACATGTTATTGGATAAAGAAATTTGAGAAGGGACAGCGTGTTCAGGTTTTAGAAAACAGTCATATTTGAAGTGTTGGAAAAAAATGGGCAGAATGTGAATGGCATAAAAAAAGAGACAACATAAGAAACAAAATCTCGCTACATTGTAGAAGCTTTTATCCTAATTGGTAAATTGTTTGACGGTGATCTTCTAGCGTGTGTCACCCTCGGCCTTAAAGTTTTGTACTGATACTAACACACTGAGGCAGTGCAATCACAACGACCTGTGAAGCTGTTCAGGTTCTATAATAACCTCCTCTGTGTGCGTACGTGTGTGTGTGACCTTGTGATTATGCCCCAGTGTGATGCTTTGGCCCGGCTGATTACCTGTCAGCAGGTTTTGCGCATCTGACACACACACACACACACACACACACACACACACACACACACACACACACACACACACACACACACACACACACACACACACACACACACACACACACACACACATACACATACACACAAATCACCACCCAGCAACAGACAATACCCACTGGGCAGGTCACCACAGTGTTGCAGGAAGCATATTGCTGTTTAAGGGGAGCAAACGCACACACACATAAATGGACCCATGCAGGGTCTGGAACCTAGATTGTCTATTAAGGAGTATATTAGGAGAACTCAGGGGTCCGACATTCAGACAGTTTGTGTGCCATTAGTGTGGGATATTATGTTGTTGTCGGGTGTCTAGTGATACTGAGTGAAAGCAGAGATATATACACACACAGGTGCACACAGACACAAACATTCATCATTCAATGAATGCTCCAACATGGGAAAATTATGCCAGTAGGAGGTATATTTGGAGGAACTACTGCTTCTGAGTCTGTCATTTTCCCGCTCCACACCTAAGTGAAAATAATGTTTTGGTCTTTCCAAACGAGCAGTGATCAAACAGTTGAGTGATATGTCTCCTTGGACCACATCTTTCTGGGCCTGAAAACTGGTTGAAAAGAACTTTATGACCCACACAAATATTCATCTCTTATGATTAATTTCTATTTTGGTCCTCTTCATCTTCATGTCTCAGCATGTGTGCATGTGTGACTTACTTGTCCCAGCAGTGCTGGATTTGTGATGTGATGAGCTCAGTAAATAATGTTTCTCCCTTGGAAATTAAAAGCAAGAGTTTGGTTTTGTTGAGCGTTCATGAGTTCATTAACACAGTCACCCACAAATATTGGCTTTTCATCATATGCATAGTAATGTCACGCACTTTTTTTTTTTTTTTTTTAGTGTAGCAACATGGGTGGCATAATAAGTAGAGAGGTTGTCCTTAACCCGGATGCCTGTGTCCTCTACTGTTTCATCCAATACATGAACTTAACAACCCCTGACCTGACACTTTCTCTAACCACAACCCATAACCTTCATTGTTAAGAACTTGTGAGACTTTGGTGTGAGATTTTCCTTCACGTCTCCCTTGTATTTGACAAGCCTGGGCAAGTATGTCCTGGACGGTGACCTGGCACACCATGAAGTGTGTTGCATCTTTGTGTTGTTTTGCAGTTTGCTCTGCTGTATGTGTTGAGGTCCTTATTTTATCTTAATCCTTTCCCTGGATTGTTTTACTGTACCATCCCAGTTCTCTCCAAACACTTACATAGTCTTTGCCTGACGTACACATTGACTTCTTTTTCGTTAGGATAGCAGTTGTTGTTGCAGATGTGGTAGTAAATGTTTTTTATTCTACAGTTTTTGTTGTAATAGTCCATTTTGATGCGACGTGATGACACATCTGCTCAACCAAGTTGAATTATTCACTGTGTTTTACCAGCTCACATTGTCTATCTGCCACTTGTGGCAGGTGGTGTACAATGAGTTTATCAGACCCTTTTTTTTTTTTTTTTTTTTTTTTTTTCAAAAAAAAAAACTGCCTCCTGCAACTGGAAATGAGGTTGATGAGAGAAAAGAGAATGAATCGAAACAGCAAAGTTTCAGGTTTGAAAAGCAAAACAATAATCTGAAAGACGCTTAAACAAGTCTGTAGAGTTCAGGGGAATGGCAAAAACAGGTAATAATCCTCTGGGTTCATCACTGTGAGAGACTCCTTTCACATCACTGTAGAAATTTGATCCATTGCCAAAATAAAATATTGATTAGTGCAGATTTTAAGAAAGAAGCCGTGGATCACCATTAGCTTTAAAGTTGATTTTCAATGTCACACCCCACCCTTTGACCTTCCAGCTGAGGGCTTCATACAAGAAAGAACAGAAAATATTAACACAGATGATCATCATTATCACTGTATTACTGCAGCCCAAGGGAACATGTTTTGTGATGACTAGAAAATAAGAAGCATATAAACAACACTCTCTTTTATGATTTTTAATTGTTTTTATTCATAGTATTAATTCAGAGTTGCTGTAGCGGGGCATGAGGTGAGACTGAAGAAATGTACAGGAAGTCATTTCACATCAGCGAGGCGACAGCAGGAGGTCCTGCCAAACTTGGTGCCCCTGGAGTTACCTGGAGGACCTTTAGAAGTCAGGGCCCTCTTTCTTCAGGTTCTTGTAGTCTGTGTTGATGGCCACAAACTGTAGAAGGCAGGAGGAATACATTTAAATCTGTTTTGCTTAAATTAAATTCATCAGTGCTGTCTTTAGGAGAGCACGCTGAAAAAAAAAAAAAAAAAAAAAAAAAAAAATGGGTGAGGATGTGCAAACACAGACTCACTTGATTCTTTCTAGCTGATTTATTTTGCAGATTTTTGTCTTGTGAGTCTTTTAGGACAACAGTTTGCATATGTCATGGATAATAAATACATTATGTGACTGCATGCATGTGTTCTGCATACATCACAGCCCTCCAACCATGAAAAACACACATTTTTTGCACTGGCAGTGATTATTTTCTCCTCATGTATTCTCCTTGATTGGTCTGCCATTAAAACTCTCGCCTACCCCCTTCTCTCTTTCCTCTCTCTCTCTCTCCCGCTTCCCCCTCCTCATTATGATCGTTGTTTGGACTTCAGTGGAATTTCGATGTGAGACCTTTGCCTTGCTATCGAGAATTAAACATGCCATGTCCTGACCTTTTGTCTGCAGCGACTTTCATTCCACTGGCAAGCAACACAGCCTTGAAACCCTCAGAAAACGCTCTTTTCTCTGAAAAACACATCATCCAGATCTCCTCTACTGGGGCCTGTCAGTTGGTTGTTTTTCTCCTCTATTTTGGGTCAGGGTTGTTATTAATATTTTCATTAGTTTGTCTGGGGCTCTGGCCTTGTTCAAGAGGTAAGGCAAATTACCACCCACCACTAAAAGCTCCTGGTTCCATCTGCCTTAATTTGTTTTTGAAAGACACTTTGTTTTCCTTTGTTTGAACAGATGTGGAGAAAGCCAGAAAGCTACCATTTTGATCTGACATTAGTTTGCCAGCACTGGTTTGTCTAAATCTTTTATATTTTAAGCTCATGATGAATGTGAGGTTTTCAGTGAAATTATGTCATTCTCATCTAGAGAAGTTTTCTGACAAACTTGATTGATGTGAGCAGGGAGGGCGGCCATACACTGTGTGGCGGGAATAGTCACCTTGTACTGGTAGGTTGGGTCGAGCTTGTTCCAGGGCTCTGGGTTATTCTTCTTGTCCCAGAAGCTGCAAAAGTGGAAAGATTCAGGGCATGGAGAATAAAGAGGAGACGAATGAGGGAAGAGAAAAGACAAGGACACATATGAGAGAGGCATACGTGATGACGTCAAAGAGCAGATGCAGAGAAAAAAGAGATATGGAGAAAAACGGGCCGATATGTAAACAAGTAGGAGGCGAAAGGAACAGAAGGACGGAGACAAAAGGAGATAAATACATCAATGCTGGATGGAGACAAAAGATGGGAAAAAGAGAGGTGATTATGAGATGAGGTGAACTCAGCCCAGTGACTTGGCAGTGCTCCTGTGTTCATTAACCAAAGTCTGGATTTCACAGCGCTCCACAGCGACTGTCCTTCCCTCCTCCTCTTCCCCCTGTGGCAGCGCGTCTCGCCGCCAAAGCACAAACAAAGAGACCGAGAGACTGATGGCAGAGCGAGCACGTCCCCCACCTCCCCTCTCTCTCTCTCTCTCTCTCTCTCTCTCCATTACCACAAACACTAGACAGTGTCTGAGAGAGAGAGGCAGCCACTGACCACAGCACTCATCACCAGCTGGTGATGAGGTCAGGCTTTATGGCTGACCCTTAGAACAAGTGGTTCTATGTGGCCCAAAATAGGACATGAGCAGTGCACATTTACTGTATGTGAGTTCACTGAGTTCAGTGGTGTTGGTGCAAATTGTCATTCTCAATTATGACATTTACATACAGCCAGCTGCGTTTTGTTGTAAACTTTAATTCAACATGTAGCTGTCAAAAAAAAGCTTTATTTTGATGACAGTATCAAATTCAGTGCACTTGTGTGTATGGGTGATGGACAGCATTTTTATCAAATCTGAATCCCGTATCTGTAGGGTTTCACTTTCAACATTTGTAATGGATTGAAGTGGAATGAACTATTAAGTCAGCAGGCTGAAATTATCTGCGCATTTGAACTCATCACAGATATATTTGTTGGCTGTGTTGGGCAATAAATAAGAAATAAATTGCAGTAAAGAAATGTTTGTGCACTGTGCATCACAGAATAGTAACATGTTCTGCCTGTGCTTTTTCTAATCATTTGCCTCTAAGCTCAGTGAGTCCAGTTTCATTGCCAACATGGACCCAGATCCAAAATGGACCCAGCTATCAGAACCCAACCTTTTTGGCTATATTGAAAGTTTTATGATCAAATGATGAATGGCTTCAATCGTTCAATGTTTGGATTCAGCTACACATTCTGTAAATGCACATATTGTCAAAAGCAAGATGGAAGATTATTACAATGGCTACAAGTGTAGTAACAACAGAAAGACTTACGTGACATGAGGCCCCCTTGCCAGGCGGATCAGGTAGAGGAAGGCCCCTGTGAGGCCCAGAGTCGTGAAGAAAAATTGAGGGATTAACTGAGGAGAGGAGAGGAGAGAGGGAGGAATGCATTAATCCCAGACCAGAGAGGCATATGAAGATAAACAACCATATTCTATCAAGTGGTTGGCTCTGATATGTACTACGAACATACACCTGTGTGAAATGCACACACATATACACACAAACATGGGTAGTTGTTATTCTTGTTTTCCCTCTCACTGCCCTCCTCCATATGCATGAGGCCCAGGCCATGTGTGAGGCAGCTCACTGTCAGCCTGGGTTGAATGGGCAAGGACGCGGTGGAAGAGAGCGCTGCTGCATGTCAGTGTGTGCCAGCCTCTCCTCCTCAACACTACAGTATACCTGTCAGACTGAGCGACAGCATCGCACAAACACACACACACACACACACACACACACACACACACACACACACACACACACACACACACACACACCATGAGAGCAAGACACTTAAACACATGCATATACTCGCACAAATATGCACAGAAATGAGCTTACGCACACCTGGTCTGCGTACTCAAACACACTGGCATGAATGTGCGCACACACGCAGACACGCTTTTATTTGATGTTCTGAGCTGTGATGATGACAGGAATTAAAATAGAAAAGCACATTAAGGGGGACAGGGGGATAATATGATATGTCATCTTAAACACCCAAAGCTTAGGTACGACAATCCTCTCACTGCGCTCCACCTATTCATCAGCACCGCACTGCCATATAGTACATTTCCTGTCTACTCTATGTGACTTCTACTGTGATACTCTATGTATAATGAGAGAGGGAGAGATAGAGTCACACCACTGGTGAACAGATGTTCTCAGCCCACACAGATTAACTCAGGCTGTGAGAGATGACAGTTTGATCAGGTTGAACTGAAGGATGTTCTACTCAGCTGTATCTAGACATCTGTCTTCTTCTGATTATGTTGTCACTTTGCTTGCTGTTGATTAGGAGAATGTCTGGTGATAAAACTTTGATATTCACTACTTTAAAGCTACGGAGAGAGATGAAGAAAATCTCCCCTCCTCTGCTTCACGCTCGGCACACAACTATCTAAACAACTCTTGACTCGGAGCACGGACTCCCTGCTTCAGACTCAACTGATCAGATGTCCAATTGTCAAAATGCAGTTTGACAGCAAACAGCTGAGTGAAATGTACGATCAGTATTGTAAAGACTATGAATAGGCCTGCCACTAACGATTACTATGATAAATCTGCAGATTATTTTTTCAATGAATCAATGAATAATTGCTTTGTTTTTTAAAACAGAAAACGTGTATTAAATTACGCAGAGGGTGACATCTTTCAAATTGCCTTTTGTCCAACCAGCAATCCAGACAAAGATCAGCAGAATCATAGTGAAACCGTGAAAATACATATAGGCATACTGTCACATTTGAGAAGGTGGAATTGGCATTTCTGCAATTTATTGACTATAGAACAATTAATCTAGTATTAAGGTAGTAAAGATTCATTTTTTGCTGAATGACTAATTGATAATCGACTAATCATCTCAGCTCTAATTCTTTGGTGTGGTTTTCTTGCTTTTACTTTTTTGCATAAGCATTTTATCAACTTATTGTCATAAATTATGGAAACAGTCCACATAGGAAACATTAAACCAGCACAATCTTTCTCTAACCTTACCCAAGTGCTGTGAGTGCCTAAACATAACCATGACAAAGTTTAATAAATGCTGTAAGCAAATGAAATATTGTACTGCAAAGATTGGATATTTTTATGTAGTGATGTATTTTAAAAATATGTGTTTAATCTGATACATTATCTGTGAATATTTACTTTAGTGAGAAATTACCATTTATACAATATATAATATAGTTATTTATTCATATCTAATTTTTTGTATAAATGTCCTCTATGGAGACAGGGGGTTGCCTTATTTATGGTACTGTACAGTGTCCAACCAGCATGGGTTTTATGTTTGCTGAATTCTCCTCCAAGGAGCTTTACTGTGAATTTTCATAATATCTTCAAGTAAACCTTGGAAAAAATTTCATATACATAGTGCTCAACAAGTTTTCTCTTCTTTCACTCTCTTTCACACACACTACAATGAACATGCAAAGGTACAACACATAACAGCAAGTTGCGCACAAAGTGTGGGCTGATCAGCTCATAGCCATGCACACACACAAACAGATGGAAACAGGTCAGGTTTGATCACTCTCTCGTCACTCACTCAGCTCACACACACACACAACACACATACACACAACACACACACACACACACACACACATACACACACACACACACACAACAGCAAATAAGCAAGACAGGCCTGGCCTGTGTGTAGGGAGCTGTCCATTCCCCAGTGCTGATATCTCCAATAACGTGCCACAACAAGTGAGTGTTTCATCACTTTCACTATTCAGTACTCTGACTGATATAGGTAGTGTTTTAATACTCACTAGAGTTCGGATACTGTTGCTGCCCTTATTTACTTTTTCTGTGCACTGCAAGCCAACACCCGTCAATCTTGAATTTGGGTCACCCACAGCAAAGCTCTGAGGCAAACAGAAAAAAACCTAGCACAGACAGCCTCTGTGTCTTTCCTCCTTTCTTCTTTTATTATGATATAGTAGTAAGCAAATTAACATGCCAATGATGCAAAATAATAATCTGCAGTCGCACAGTATTTGTTTCAAATTTCAAACAAGTCAGTGGATCAGAATAGGGAATTAATAATAGTTTTTAATGTCAATTGTAAAAAAGAATCTAAGCTCAAAGGTCCCCATACTATGTGATTGGAACTGGGCACATTGCTGTGATATTATATTGGTGGTTAATATTTATTTTTTCAATATTTATACAGTGACTTTCTATGCTTGTACATAAGTTTTGTTTGTAAAATGTTATTGAGGAGCTGGATAGAAGCCAACTTTTTATGATCTGGTAAAACAAATAGCACAGTCACACGTTGCTTGCAGCGTATTTTCCACCGCTCAGCGTTTCTCAATGTTAATAGCTGCAAATCAGTGAAAAAGGGTTTTATTCATGTTCTTATTCAAATGTTAACTTTATTTTATTAACTTTATATTTTTTCATAGGTAAGACCGATACTCAGTGAATTCCAAAAATCTAATAGCAAATGTCCCAGGCAAACCTATCATAACCAAGGCTGTTATAGTATACCGAACATATACATATGATGGTAGGCATATATACCAATCTAAACATTACAGTCAGTTTATATTAGGTCTTAATGCATAAATCACTATATGATTGAATAGTCATAGAACTAATACAGGCTCTAAAATTGATAAGTGAATATGAGATGCAACCTACCCCTGGATCGATTTTTCTTGCACATGTTGAATCGCAAGTCTTAATCATCTTTAGTATTCTCGCCAAAAACAACAAAATAAAAACCTAAACCCATATAAAAAAATGAACAAACTGACAGCTATACTCTGACGAATGACTCTGTGTGAATGAACGTCTCTGGTGCTAGATTATAGAAAAGAGCTGTTTGTTAGCTGTTAAGTACAGTGGTGTTTGGCCAGTTGCGG